CACACACACACACAATGAGACACATGAAGACGAGGAAAGAAAGAGCTATTCCCAGTTTGTCTCTCCCAGTTGGCCGCGTGACCTAAATTCACCTAAATTCATTATTCATTACATACCTCACATTTACTACTCCACACACACACACACAGACAAACATGCTGACATGCTACTGCCTGGGCAAATACCAACTATAGGTATTTCATCTATTGTAGTGTGTGTGTTGTGTGTGTGTGTGTGTGTGACACTCTTAGATAACACTGCTGATGTTTCACATTCAGGACTCATGGAATATGTAAATGTCATTTTATAAGCACGCACTTACATGTCTGGAATGAGTGTGTTGCGTGTGTGTGTGTGTGTGTGCGTGTGTGTGTGTGTGTCAACCCTGTCACCTTTACATTACATTCATATACCACTATTTTGGAAAAGCAAATAGGTTTTAAAAGAATATGTAAATATTAACACGTAGTGTAACTAATTCCATTTACAGTTACTTTAGTTAAAACATGACTCCTGTTGTCACGTCCTACTGATTTGAAATCCAACAGTCCAATCACATCCTTGGATTTATGTTGCGATCGTGGAGGAAACTAACATTACTTTGATTTTAACAAACAAACCTGGATTGTAATGGAGGACAGCAGCATATGATATATGGTGGATGAAATGTGACAGATCCTTGGGGGAAATAGCGGTCAGGGGCAACAGAAGACCCTCAGATAAAAAAATATTTCTCTAAATGACAAAAGATTTAGTTTTATTAATTTGAGCCATGTGTGCATTATATTTAGTATGTAACTCTTATAGATTAGGCTGCAGAGAAAACCCTGTTAGACTGAAGCCCAGCTGTGATTACCCTGACATCCACACAGAACATGTGAAGTCGGATATTTGGGGAGAAAAGACGCAATTACCAATTTTGTGGGAGAGTAGCAGAAAAGTAACTACTACAACTACTATGAAAATGTAGTATCTGGGTGGCTGAGCTGGTGTGTGTATGTGTGTGTGTGTGTGTGTCTGTGAGAGCTTTGGCACATGCAGCTTTATCTCTGTCAGTATGTAACTAACCCTGTCTCCTAGAAATTACATTTGTATATCACTGAATTGTATTACATTGTAGTGACAACCTACCAGGATTATATTTATGTAACACGGTGGATGGCGGGCGTACACAGTGCAGGACTGTCACACCAGGGTCTGAGGTTTGCAGCCAGAGTACAAAGGCACATTGGTTAACTTAATGTTTATAAAAGAATCTTATGTCTCGAGTCACTGCTTGAACAATGCTGTAGTCACTACGAGTGGATTGTATCCCAAGATAATTTTGGCATAAAACCAATGAAATACGTTGTCAACATTTTATTTCAGATTAGTTTGTATATAAACATAATTCCTAGGTGACAGGGCTGCTATAACAGTTATGCATCATTGAATCATGTGCTGCAGAGTCTTGAATAATGTAACAGGATTTTTGTTCTATGTGCAACCATCAGCGTAAGGGACTTATGAGAGACAGACAAAAGCAATTGTGCAACATCTGTGCAGCAGATGAAGGAGAGGCAAATATGTAATATATGTAATTTCAACATATCCAGTTCCCAGCACTCTTCTTCTTTCTGGGAACTGACACACTGTGTTGTTTCCTGCTTTATGATGGTCACCCCTCTGATGTCATCGTCGTGTCACCACCACCTCCACACACTCAGATACTCTGAGCCACGTGTCTGTGTTGAGCTGCCTTTGTGTCCGAGTCTAACTAGACTGTGAATCCCCATGGAGGAGAGGAGATGGATAACTCAATAAACACAAGGAGGTATCTGACCCTGGAACAAAGCACATCAACTGACAGGCATCCAACCACCCGCCGTTTTCCCTCTCTTCCTTTCTGTTTGTGTCTGTTCCTCCATCATTACCCACTTTTCTGCCGTTCTGTTGGCGTGTGCAGCTCCTCTCTCTGGCTCTACACCAGTGATATGTCTGTGAAACTGCTCTAGGCAAGGCTTAAACATGAAAACTGGCCTGTCTTATCAGCTTCAACCATAAAAGAAATGCTGTAATAACGAGAAAAGCATCCAACCCCCATTAACTGAGACACTGTAGATTGGTACGATCACCAGACAGTTGGTCGGCCCACTACTTTGGTCCAGACTGAAATAGCTCAACAACAATTGGATGGATTGCCATGAAATTTGGCTCAAACATGCATGTTCCCATCAGCTCGAATGAACTTTACTGAATATAATTGGTTTGATAATTTCTGTAACTTTCCCAAAACGACAATCCGACTTTCACACCAGGGTTTAAACTTCTCTCTCTAGCTCTCTTTATTCATTCTTTTAAACTCTTTCTGTCATTTTACACGTGAACAACATTGTGAAACACTATGAAGGAAGCAATCCACTTTTGATCAAGCAGGAAACATCACTTGAAACCTGGTTGTGCTCAACAACAGATTGATTCAAATCAAACATCAGATAAAGAAAAAGACGTGAAAAATGTGTGAGCAGCAAGAGACAAATAACCCAGTTAAGCATGATCTGTGATATGTACCCTGAGATACACTTGCTTTTAACTACACGTTCGAGTATGCATGATGGCTCCATTACGTATCCTGCATCCATTTGGGCGGTTGGTTGAGCACAACCTAAGAAATAAACACAACGCATCCGCAACACAGATGTGTGGTTAAGCAGCAAGTATATGTCGGGCTTTAGGGCTGCAACTAACAAGCTTGTTCTGTCCGACCAACAGTCCAAAACTCAAAGATATACGATTTACAGAACTATAAAAACACAGATTAGCAATAAATCCTCACATTGGAGAAAAATTGCCAATTAATTTTGTAGATCACTCAGATTTATAACCTTTATTCCTAAAAAATTTCCAAAGCCGAACCAACACAGATCTGACGTGAGATTTAAACTGAAGACATTCTGAAGTCATAGGTATGTTTTCTCTTTACTGTGTAAGTGCTGTGGCTTTTTGACCTTCTTACCCCCTTCCTTCTGGTGTTCATGGTATTCCTAGAAACGTAAGCTCATGAAAAATGAAGCCAGAAGGATTCAAGCACACAGAATTATTGCATTTGGCAACAAAGTGCAGTTAGCTGCTTGTAAGCTGTCCCCCCACACTCTCCAAGTCATAATGGCAGGGAAAAAGCTATTATACCATTATGTCTAGGAGGGTTTGTGACCTGGCTGTGCCTGGCTAGCCTTGTGTACCCCTGGTGTGTTTGTGTTTTGATTATTGCAGATGGAGTGCAGTTGAGTAGCGTGCCACAGCAGGGCTCCAGCGCTCCCCGCGGTACAAACCAATATTATAACAGCTTCTCCCATTCAAACGCACACACACGCACAAATACACACTCTGATTCCGGAGCACTCCCTTTCCCAAATCCCTCTTCCAAACACAGGCCTGACACCACGCACTGTTGGAGTCTGCCGTCCCGGATCAGATTCCCAGAAAAATATCATATGGTATGTTTCTTTTCTTTCTCTTTTTTTAATGATTCTAAGGAATTCTTATTCTGAGTGGCGGTAAAATCAGTTCCAGACACAGAGGGAGATGGACGGGAAGGGATTTTGTTTTTTGGCAAAAATAGAGACACTTGTGCATGTGCACCCACACTATACACACGCAAATGAAAACCACATCATTTCAAGGAAGTCCTCTTTATGGCTCTCTTCATGGTGTTCTCTAAAACTAGAGGAAACAGAGGAGGGGAAAGCAGACTCACTGACAGGGCTGACAATATGCAGGTCTACTAGCTCCAGATGATTCATAGTATCAGGACATGTTGAAACATTCCGAAAAACAGGCTCAGGTTCATAATGCCAAGTCGCAGCAGTTTCAGGTAACTGCACCTGTTCAGCTTAATAAACAAAGCGATTAAGTTGTGGGGGCAGCGTGGAAGATCAGTCTGATTGTACCATGCATCTGCGGGTGTCAAGTCTCTCTCGATATTTTAAAATTCTTGGTCACACCTGCTGATAATGACCGTGAAGCTATTGTTTCTGTTCTCTTTCCTGTATTTGAATTGTTTTGCTTTCAATTCAGTGTGGACTTCAACAACTGTCCTTCATCTAAACAGGCTAATTTCCCAGGGCAAGTTAAAACGGATGGAGAGGACAATATTAACCACCCTCAGGGTCATCATCGCATGCAGTTCATACACTCACACACAGTGAAAGCCAAGGCTCTTGGTTACACTTTCACCCTCAACATGTCAGAACAGGTGAGTTATGAGCTAAGCCTGCACACCAAGGCCACACTCACACCAGCCAAATCAAACACAGACGCGGCCTGTACTGTACCAGCGGTTCTCTGCGGTCTCGCACACACTCACCTCTTCTTCCTGGTGACGATGAGGACGTCATTGAAGAGGAAGAAATACACCTGTTGCCGCGACGTCCGCTTGAGGAAGATGCCGTTGTCTTCCACAAACGCAGTCAGCTCTCCTCTCTTTACCATCCACCTGGAGGATGAGACCAGCGGGAAAGGCTGGTGGAAGAGAAGAAGAATTATGTGATAACAGGAAAAGTCAATAAATCTATCAAATAATGTATTTTTAAAATGTCTGTAATGTTGTGGCTGTCAGGAAATGCTAAATCACAAGTTGTGTACATGCATGTGTGAACAGCTGGCTATGCAGACTGAGAATATGTTCGCTAGACATCTGTGAATCCCAAATGTGCCAACAGCTATTTCCCACACTACTTAGACACACTTGAGCCTGCCAAGCCTTGTGTGCATTATGTGTATAGATACTGGCCAAGTGAGTGACGCTGGTGTGCTCTTTGTATTGCTGTGTCTGCATGTGCGTACATGTCAGTGAATAACTGCACAAAGCCATGTTCTACATAATACTACCTTAATTAATAAATACACATTTAAAGAAATAGTTTAACATTTTGGGGAAAAACTCCTATTTACTTTATTGCAGAGAGTTAGATGAGAAGATTGATACCACACAATACATATAAAGCTACAGCCAGTAGCCGGTTAGCTTAGCTTAAAGATTGAAAACAGGCTAATACAGCTAAAATTCACCTAGCATTATCTTCTCTGACAATTTTCTGCACACATTGACTCCAGGTTAAGAAACAGTCAGACACATACTGCCATAAAAGACAACGTGCTGGATGCCAGATGGTTTGTAACACAGAACCATTTGGAAAGTCATTGGAAAATGTTTGGAAAGGGCAAGTAACTGTATGAACCATCTGCCTTCTGTGCCATTCTTTACTCTTCTTTCAATGAAGAAATACTGTCTAGTTCTTATATAATTGATGCTAGCAGCATCTACACTAACCTCTATATACCTATCCCCATAGGCAAACCTTTTTCCTAAGGGTGGTCTGCTTCTGATTGGCTAGCACTCATTGCCTTCATTGGTTTGATTGGTTAAGTTTAGGCACGAGAAGAGGGATTGGTTAGTGTTAAGAATGTCACATAAAGCATAACATGAAGCCAATGGCACGAACGTGTTTTGCGTCATTGCATGCGCATGCACCAAAAGAACAAAACGAGTAGACACTCATAAAGAAATCTGCTCCACAGCGCTACTAGAGGTCAAAATCTCTGCAGGATACCTTTAATAGGTGAGCTTTAGATGTGTGGGTTGGTGGATTTTGGTTAGTTGTTTCGTCCAGTTTCAGAACTTTATGCTAAGCTAACTGGCTGCTGGCTGTAGCTTGATATTTACAGCACATATTTACTAACTAACTCTCAGCAAGAAAGTGAAAAAGCACATTTCCCAATATTTCGGACTATTACTTAAAGCTTGTTCATGTCCGTTGTTAACCAGGTGTTTTCAAAAGAAATCCATGTTGCAAGTGTGTAAAAAAATTTAATATTTTATGCCATATCCATACCTTGATCTTGAACTCCAACTGAGAGTTGATAGTATACATCATCTCTGTTCTCTCCATTGTGCGAGCTCCTTCATTACACTTCCTTACCACCTGTTCACACAAACGCATTCACATACATACACAAAGGGTCTGTTAATTACAAAGTACAGATTATTTCTTCTTTTCAACTTGTATCTATTTATAGTAAAATATCAGGCTATGACGATAGTTAAAGCATTCCTTGACTGATGTGCTCAAAATGATTAAGCACAAGAAATGTTGGAAATTAACTGTTTTTATTGTATTTTTGCAGAAGATTTTTCACCTAAATTCAGCATTAAATAGGAAGTGATTGCCTGCCAGCTTGATCCTATGCTCCTATGTCTAAAAGGCAAGTCTCCTAAGGCATTGCATCCCTATACTACATATACAGAAATAGTAAAGATATGTATGGGTGGTTAAAAAATTATAAAATCCAGAATAACTGTGTATAACATTTCTGGTTAATTCCTTAAACCCACACACCTTGCTGACTCCTTGTAAAGCCTTCTTACAGTCTTCATATTGTGCCGAGTCTTTAGGTGTCTTCTGACAAATTGTCTGCAACAAAAGGAGACAGGGTGTAAATCGGTTACGCTAATTTAGAACGTAAAAAACCCACATAAAACACGTCCATGAACAAAAACAAAAACCATGAACAAAAACCAATTCATTGCACACTCTATCAAAAGAGTATAAAAGTAAGAAGATATTGATGCCTAAAGAAAGCTGTGGGAAGTGGAAGGAAACCAAACTTTCTCATGATCCAAAAGCTTCTGAGTGTACAAGCATAAACCTCAGAGTCTCTAAGGAGACACTGACAGAAGACGGGAGAGAAGAGGATGAAAATTGAGCAAGAGAGAGGAAGAGAGGGAGGCACAGTAGGGACAGAATAACATGGTGCCAAAGGAAACTAAAGAAGAAATAAAAACATTAAAAGGAAGAAAGAGAAGTTTAATCAGTTAAGATTATTAGGGATTATGTAAGGTCACACAAACATCTTTGAGGTCAGAACACACCCCATGTGGAATGAGTCACGGCAGTATGAATAAACAAACTGTTGCATAAGAGTGAAAGTCTTGTCATTCCAAAGCTCATGCTACTGTATGTCTTCAGTGCACTCACATCCATGAGCAGGGGCAGGCGAGTGATCCTCTGCATGGGCAGGATGAGGAAGGAGATCATGGGGAGGTTCCTGCAGTCTGGGTGGCCCTCTATCCTGGTCAGCACCTCCTTGAAAACTGGATTCTTGGACCTGCACGAGAGGACGGAGGGAGATAGGGTGTTCACAGAGACAGAGAGAGAAAAAAAAAGAGGGAAAAAAATGAGTGAAACTCCCTGATTCAAAGTGTCAGGACACTCATGTTGGATCAAATCCATGTGAGATATGATAAGAACTGTTTGTGTGTCGGCTCGGTCACTCACACCAGCCTCTGCAGGGTTCTCTGCTGGTAGACCTCATTGGAGCAATATGTGACGTAGGGATCAAAGTTGGACAGGGAGTGCTTGCAAACGATGTCGCTGATGTCGTCGATCACTATGTTCTGCTGGTGTCTTTCCTCCAATTCCTTAAAAAACCTTAACACATGATGAATAAGGGTTAGTATGTCAGGGATTTACAACGTACATGGCAACAGCTTGAGTCAGACACGTCAAATCACGAGTCATCCTTCACTGGGGAAAATATAGGATACAATGACAGATACAAAGTCAGGAAGGCAGGAAGCAACGCCAACACCTTTCGTCTAAACCCGCTGTAAGATCACACAAAAGGAACTCCCCACCTCTTAAAATAGACATAGCCTACCATTAACCATAACACAGAGGCTTTTCCTCTTCCTGAGCACCACCAGATGGCCGGTTTAACGGCACACCACATGGCCAGCTTCAGGAGAATAAGTGTTTTTGCATGCATGATCCAAGGTGACAAACAGGAAGCTGTCCCACAGACACAGGACGCTGACCATGACCGGTTGGACTGTGTTTGAGCTCATCTGCAAAAGCACCTCTAGTGCCCCCACCTAGCCCCCTCCCTAACTACTCCATACCCTTTCTAATAAGGGCATGACCGCACAGAATAACAATACACACACACACACACACACGTTGCCCTGCCCTGTGGCCCATGTCCTAACGGTGTATTCCGGGCTTTAACAGGTCAAGGCTGCTCAAGTTCAGGCTGCACTCCCTCCTGGGGCAAAACGTACTGACCCATATAACAGCCTGTTGTCAAGAGGCAAGAGAGGGGAGTTCAATCAGGATGATGAAAAAAATGGAAAACTTCATTTCGTTTGACTCTGTGTTATGATAAAGTATGTTATGGTTATGAATAAGGTATGTCATCCTGAGGCTTCAAATGAAATACAATCATTTGTATCAATCAACTCCAGCATTTAAAATACTCAGCAGCCCTCCCACTGACTATCACACACAAACTACACAGGAGCACACAGGTGGAGTGATATTTCTGCTGTTTTCTTTGAGAGGCTAAACTCAAAGCTCAAAAGTAAAAGTAAAACATCTTGTCTAACCTGTGCTACAGGCCAATTTTTATCTTAAGAGCTGCAGTCGCTCTGCCCCCCACTCTCTTCCCTGGAGCTATGCAGGTCTCAGTATTTGGGTGGGAAGGGTAAAGTATCACATTAATGTGTGTGGCCTGTGTAAGGAATGAGAAAGGGGAGTGAGATGGGTTGCAGCACGTCTGAACACCGGAAGGAGTTTTTGAGGGATTTTCAGATACCACCATTCATGAAAAGTGGCAATGAGGTGTAAATAAATGTACAAATACTGTTCATGTCAATCCACATGTGCCTAATAAGCTGTAGAAAGTAAGGAGTAATATTTGTATAAGCTGTTTTTCCTTCCTAATAATGGAAATGTACATGTAGATGGTATACTGCATGCAATGGGGAAATCTTTGTCTCTGGGGAGGGGGCTGCAATCCTGACATGGAATCCTTAAGCAAATGTCATGAACAGTTGCACAAGGGAGGCAGTGAATGCTCTGCACATATGCACACACACACACACACCTTCACTATAACAGACAGAAACTACTAAACGGTCATAAAAAGGTTTTTCACGCTTACATTTGTCAGCTCTGCCCAACAGCAAGACTAATGCTATCTTCATTTCACACTTAAGTTCTTTTAAACCAGAGCTTCCAGCGAGCCCCCTGGTTAAGATAAGTTCCAGACTAGCATTTAAGACGGATATCATAATCAACACTGAGAAATACACAAAACTCAACACCTATATCATAGTCGCACTTGAGGCCATTATCATACTGAGCAGTAATCTAAAAAAAGAAACACACGACACATATTAACCTAACAAACAACATATGGGGTCTGAAATCCGTCTGTCAATCATTTGCAGAAATAATGGAGCCCGGTGCTACACAGTTACTGCTGAGGCAGCACACACAGTTTTCATCAGTCTCAACTTTCATGGCCTCTCATGCACGAGTGTTTCCATCGGTTTACGGGATCCTTGGCAGTTCATGGTTACCTGGCCATGAATGTCATTAAACAGTCCACACGCATGCACTATAAATCATGATGGACAGGTAAACTCAGAGGGCTCATAGCAGCAAATTTTGGCCATTGCATTGTTCTTAAACACACATACACATTCAGTCTGCTTTTGAGCCAAGCAGCAAGGAATGTTAATGTTGATAAATGCAACTATAATTAAGCTAAATTGTTCTTTTTGTTCTTTATTGTTTTACTCAATTTGCCTCTCGCTTATTCCCAAGCTCTGTTTTCTGTCTATCAGCAAGTAACCTCACATACACAATGAAAACAACTCTGACAAGGTAGAAACATCAGGCTGAAAGAATGGTATCACCATACAGTAAATAGTGTTTACCGACACACCTCACTTGAAGTGAGTGCGGTCTACCAACTGTTAAGTGCTGTTAAATAAGAAAAATTACATAGCTCATTAGCAAAAACCAGAAACCACAAACACTGGAGACTTTTAGGGAACATGTAAGATCAACCTAAAAATAACAACCAGATGATAATTCTGTCTACAGAAGTTACACAACAACACAACCACTCACTTTTTGCTAGCCTCACAGACGTCGGTGATGTTGGAGAAGAGGTGGTGGTGTTCAGTCTTCGTCATGGCCTCGCTGAGCTCTGCGGAGTTCTTGAACATGCGGATCAGGATCTCCAGACTGTGCAGGTAAGAGTGCTCCGACGAGATCACCTCAAAAATGGACTAAAAAAGGACAACAGAGAGCAACAGGGAGGGGACAGGAGAGACCAAGAGAGTAAGAAGGGAGAGACTTAAAAGAGGGTTCCCATGTTTGTGTTCTTTTTTTTGTCCCCACAATATTTGGTTTATTTACATCCATTTGTGACTTTGAGTGCTTCAGTTAAAGCGTACATGGAGCCAACAATTGGATCATTCTCACTCTGAACCAAACAAAATGAAAAATATCATTCCTACCTCTTGTCTTTTGCGTTCCTCCTGACTCATCCGGTCAGAGAGACCCCTTTTCTTTACCTAAACAGAAAACACAATTTGTAGGGGAAAATGAGAAGAACAATTTCAAAGTCATGTAAAGATTTAAAATACAAAGTCACACTTGTTTGACTACACTGACAAGGTTTTTTTGTTTGCATTTATAGCGTGTGTGTGTGTGTGTGTGTGTGTGTGTGTTGACACAGAGAAAGGAGCACTTTGCATACCGTGCTGAATAGAGAGCCATTGAAGTTGTTGTATAAAATCAGAAAAGAAAGATCTTCTGGATGAAGAGGTGTAGAAATAGAAATTTTGTTGTATCCAAAAACCTCTAAAGATAAAATGGGCTGTGCTGCCGAAAGTGATAAGGCTATGGTCGAAGAAATACGGTTAAGGAAAGGGAAAGCCCATGTGCATGTTGGTATGCGGCTGGCGAGATCTAGTCAAGAGATATTTGAATTCGACTGAAACAAAGCAATCTTTTGGAATGGACTGGGTGTGGAGTTCTATTGAATTAATAAGCCTGTGGCTTTGTCAAACTGAAGGTAAGGTTAAACAAAAAAAACATGCAACCGTCTCATGTGTCACCACATAACCAACACAACCTTGGGCATGTTCACTTTATAGTTTCCCACATCACACATGCAGGCAGAAATCAGGGGAGGCCATCTTTCCTTACTTCCAATAGCTTCTCATCCTGTTTTGGTGTACAAAGAAGTGATACTGCTCCCGTACAAGCTTTCCCTGTCTCTAGTATCTGCCTGGCAGCCCTCAGCAAACACTGAGAACAAACACACCTGCAGACCAAACATCTCTAGTGGTTCTTTCTATTCCTTTCACACATACTGTACATACACTTCATCACTTGCTCTTACTTTCCCTTCTGTCAAACCTTTAACACTCTATATCAGCAAAACCAGCTATCAAAGTAAGGCTGTAAGGTTTTAGTGTGCTAGCAACTATATGCCCTGTCATGCCAAGTGAACTTTATCCTGTTTCACTGGGTGTAACTGAATCAAAATCAAAAAGGAAATTGTGTATTATTCAATAGTGAATTATAAGTTATTTTTGGATGCTCAAATCTATGTTTACTTGTTTGAAGCACAACAAAATAAACAAATCTTCAGGCCACTTAAGGGCCATTGGAGAAGGTATCTTCCAAAACAGCTCCAGGTAATGATTCCTGAATGAAAATGCTGGGGTGTGACATTTCATGTAAATCTAAATAACGAAAGACACTACAGGGACGGTAAGTGAAGGGAGGAGCTGAGGCAGAGGAGACTAGTTGGAAAGGCGAGACTCACATGATGACAACTTGTGTATCTGGTTCTTGGCTTTAACTTGAACTAAACTAATTTCCTATCACACCAGTGTCGTGCCAGCATTTCTTACGAAATTTGAAAGTTTAGGGAGTATCGTGTGGTTTTACGTAATTTACTGTCTGGCCAAGCACATTCACGCTAACAGAAACCACAGCTGTAAAGCAGCTGTGATGGAAGAAGAGAACTGACTCTAAAGCTAGAGTCCTGGGAATGTCAGTCTCAGCTCAGTTCACCCCTGTGCCTTGATGGTATACACGAGAACAAAAACAACCAGAGGAACTTTGTGAATGTTCTCTACTTTGAATCAAATTTCCCATTCATTAGAGACTGTGTGCATATCATTCTTTGCCAAGCAATTTTAGAACTAATCCTAATTGCCTCCATCTATACCCTTGCCTGTTTTCCCCTCCTCAACAAGTAAACAAACAGATGGGAATGCCTAGCAAGAAAACAAAATAAGCTAATTCCCTTCCTCTGTATTCCTCTATCCCTCCGTTCCAGTCCCTAACTATATTACGTAATGCAGAGCCACCACACTCCTCTGTAGAGGCAACATTTTAAGCATATTTGCAGTCTGACGAGTATGTAGAGTTTGCCAACACACTGGCATTAGGCCCAGCACTTCTTCCAAGACTTCCTGTGGGTCTGGCTGACTGTCTGCCTCCCTGCCTACCAGAGTTCTAGATGAAATGCTCCTGTACTCCCTGATAAACAGAGTGAAGGGCAGAGGAAGGCAGAAACAGTGGGAGGATGGGTATGGACTGTGGCCAAACTGGATATGACAGCATTCTTCAGAGCACTAGCATTCCAAGACTCCACAGGCACAACACTAGTGTGGACACTAGCCCGTATACTGTATGTGTGTCTGTGCGCTGGATGTAGAGAAAGGGTGACAAAATATATAAAAATTATGTCTGACCACACTGAGCTGACTCCAGGAGGTGCGTATAGGTCTGTACTGGAGCACGATGCCGCTATCGGGTTTGGGTTCTCTGGAATCGGCATCCTCATCTGAGTCGTTATGCAAGGCCTTCTCCTGGTAGTTCTGGTACAGCTCCTCCTCTGAAACATAAATTTTCATGTTAAAGTTTTTTAGTAGTAGTAAAATTAATGTAAAACTATGGTGCAGACAAAACAGATAGACGTTTCTCACCCTCACTGTCAAACGTCCGCTGAATGGTCAAAACTTTCTTCTTATCTGGACTCTGAAAGAGAAACACAACACAAATGTAATCACTTCTACAAACTCTGAGGGGGCCAAACAGCTACACATACAAATCTTAAATGAAACAGGCCTATGTACCTCTGTCACCTGTCCATGACCTGTCTGTGCCCTTTCTAGTGACCTCCTGTCTAATTACAGAGCCACTGTGTATATTAGTGTGTATGTGTGGGCATAGTGTCACATTACGTCATGTCTCCCAACAAGCACATTAATTGTTTCAGTTTGTTGAACAATACTCGGCCTGTGTGGTAATTTTACAATTTGGACTTTATCCCCCTCAATGCTGAAGAGTCGAAGCAATCTTTGTGCACAATCAAATTTAAACCCACCAGAAGTATTAGGATTAACTAAGTCAAGAAATCTCAATCTGCAGATGACAACTAAAACTGATTTCTTTTGCCATTAATTCCCCTAAAACTTGTTAAATAGAGCCAGTACATAATCTATATAACCTACAGAAAGTCAACTCAAACATGTACAAAATAGTTAAATTCAGATCATAAAACATTAAAGATAAAAGTTGAAACTGACTGGTTTTTAATTCCCTCATGAAAAATGTATGAAAGTAACAGAAGCTTTTTGAATACTGTGGGAGATTTAAACTCTTTTCCTTCAAGAGCAACAGTGTTTGTTTCTTGAGTGCATCCCAACATGTACCTTCTGAACCCAACACAAACAGGACAAACAGTTTTACACACCTTGTTTTTTCCCAAGCTCGTAGGCTTATCTTTCCCAGGGCTAGTAGGCTTTGAAATGGCAGATTTGGGTGTCCCAGGGCTGGCAAGTTTTGGTGTTCCAGGGCTGGCAAGTTTGGGGATCCCAGGGCTGGCAGGCTTGGCTGTTCCAGGGCTAGTGAGGCCAGGACTTACTGGGCTGACAGGTGAAGCTGAATTATCCCCATCTAGTCCTCTGATGACAGGCTGGGACAATCGATGGGCCTTTGGATCTACCGAGGGAACTTCTAAGTCTACTCCACTCACAACGGCCCTCCTGTAAGACGTACTCCTCAGGCCTCTTCTTAGTGTCCCTGGACTCTCACTTTCCCCCTCTGCCCCCTCACCGTGGCCTCCTCCTGTAGAAAAATAGGGTCCTGTTTCCACCATGCTGAGGGTTTTTAATGCTCTCTTGGAATGATCCAACCCCAGCAGCCCTGCCAAGCCTTGGCCTTGCTGCCCAGGGGGGGGTGCCTTGTTCTGCCGAATATCGGATGCTAAACCCTTGGGAATGAGCTGCTGGGTGCCCATCTTTAGGGCAGCAGGGCTGTGGGTGCTGAGAACAACGTTGGGAGGGGGAGAGATAGATGGGGAAAGCGAAGGAGAGGGTGAGGTGGAGGAGAGAGAAGAAGAGGAAGAGGCATGCCTGGTGTCCTGTGAGGAGGCAAGCAAGGACGAGGACTGTCTGTGGAGCGCCTGTCCTCCATCAGCTGGCGACGGGGAGCGTGGGGTCGGGGGGTCTGAGGAGGTGAGGGAAGAGAGGGAGGGGATGCTGGAGGTGGAGCTGTGGGATGGGGTGGGGGTACGCCTCGCTGGAGGAGAGGGGCTGGATGCCGATGAAAGGGAGCACAGTTCATGGTGGTTGTAGTTGCTGTTGTTGTTGTTGTTAGGACTGCATGGAGACGGGACAGGAGAAGAGAGGTTAAGAGGAACTGGTTCATGCGATGGCGAACTCGTCCCAAATGCTATCTGGTCTTTCTGTGAGCTCAGACCGAACTGACTGGACACACGTTTCTGGGGGTCCTGGAGACGCTTTTCAGGCCATACTGTCCCATTACTGGTTTTCCCCTTGTCACAGTCTCCATTATACACTCTATTGTCCAGTGAAGCGGATCTGCTATCCTCAGACCTAAATTTAGACAATGAGAAGAGTCCATTGGAGAGGTGCCCGATGCTGATGCTTCGAACAACTCTGGATTTCCTGGAGGGTTTGTGCAGAACGTGCTTTAACACCACAGTGTTCTTGCTCCAACGCGGTGGCGTGACCAGTTTCTCAGCAGGTTGGCTTAAGGTTAACGAAGACTTTCCTCTGTCCTCCACAGGGAAGTCCGTCGTCATGACCCCATTTAAGTGGTAACTGAGGGGTCGCGGTTTGGGTTTGCTTGAGTCCTGGGGTCTCATACAATTGTCTGTGCGGCGTTTCCACAATGGGGTGATGTTTTTATTGGACAGATCCACATCATTTCCATTATCCATTGTCCTTAAGTGTCTGCGTCCTCCTCGCTATCTGCGTCTAAACCTACAGGTCACAGTGCAAACACTGCAGCCCTGTAGAAAACCCCTGATCTTACCCCTGAAAGGTAAATAAAAGAGAGTAGTACCAATCAGTGTCAAAGAGGTCAGTGCAGTGACCAAATTCCCAAAGTTTACTCATTAACAGGGATTCAGTGCAGATACTGGCAGCGAAACTTAAAAAAACAGATGAGTGAAAAAGTTATTGAATTGCGCAAAACAGAAGCCAAGCCAGAGACGACAGCTGATAATGCTTTTGTATATGTTCACTGAGGTGAAATGGCCTTCTTACAAGCACAAAGCTGACAAGATATTATTAGCTGTGAGCAATCACTGTAATATTCCAAAAGGGAAACGAAGGACCATGGAAACAGTGAGACCAAGTATTGTTTTATCCTCTGTTGCACTTAAAAAAATCCCAAATTATTTAATCTAGACCTCTTGTTTGTACAAACATAACTAATTTAACAGGTATAAAACAAGCCACAGGGTGTAAAGAGAGTGTCTGATTCAGCTGTACGAGAAAATTGGGTTTTAATAGGTTAATTTGTTGTTTTCAGTAGGTTAATTTGTTGTTTTCAGTAGGTTAATTTGTTGTTTAGAATTTTAAAAGTGTCCAACTTACCTCTAATCAGTGGCTGTGCAGCAGAATGGGGTCATTGTACCTGCGCTTGCCGTGAAACAAACCTTCTTTGGCCGATTTACAGAAGTTAATGAGCTTAATCCAACATGGCATCGAAACCAAATGAAGTTTGTGAAACTCGAGTTGGAGCCGCAGCGTTAGTTACTGTGAAGTGTGCGGTCGGCTGGAAATACAGCAGTGCGCGCCTCTGAAGCCCTGCTGCCTGCGCTGAGGAGTTTCTATCAGGAGGAGGAGGAGGAAGAGGAGGCGAGGTGGAGGATTAAGAGGGAGGGGAACAGAAGCAAGAGGGAAACAACAGCACTGCCAAATGCACAGAAAGTCACCTCAGGTACTAGGAGTACTGTGCTTGAGTTTGTGTTTATCAAAGTGGAGGGGCGCATTTTTCTTTTACATTAAGAGTTTTATAAAGTTGCACGAAATGAACAAAAATAATGGCGTTAGAGTCTGGTTAAACCTACAGGATCATATTATTTTAACTAGCTCCCATGTAGTAAATACACACTCCGGTTAGGTATCGAAAAGTACTGAATTCCAACAAGTTGCACAAATACAGGATGAATAATGAGCTACTACATTGACCCGTTGCTGTTGTGCGCCATCGTGTGTTTTGCGGCGTAATCGCAATATGTGCACACAACAGAGAAATTGTGATTTTTAAAAAAAAATGGCCCCAGTAGCCAATTTAGAATGCACTGCGAATCAGTAGAATAAATATACAAATATTCCTAAAATATTCCAATACAACCTTATGGTTTGTCCGGTCATGTATATATATATATACATATATATATAATGACCTCTCATATAGCATCCATACAATATCCCCTTTGTCCGTTTGTTTTGCAGTTGCTTCTAAAAAGTATGGAGTAAATAGAGGATCTGGAAGGATTTATAGTTTTATATCCCAGCTTCAATAAAAAAAAAATTAAAAAATGGTGTTGTGCAATTCGAGGCTGTGGTTAATTCATGCTGAAAATTGGAGATTGCGAAACACTGTGTGACAAAAGTATTTTCTCATTAAATCTATCTTAAGACATAGATCAGTCACTCACCCCAAAGTCGATGCCAACTTTGTTAAATGGGGTTAACCGGTACTTGCTGTGAGTAAGTGATTAGGTTGACACGCTGTGTGTGGATTGTACCCCACCACGTGGCTCTTGTGCGCCAGTATTTCACCTATTTGACCGCTAAGGGGTGCCATTGTAATGTTTACCAATCATCACTCAGTGTATGGAAGCACAGAGGAGACTTAAGGAATCATCATTCTACAAAGTAAAATGTTTAATTTAAGCACACGTTATTTATATGCTGGTGACAAGTTGAGCTCTGTGTAATTGCAGTCCAATGACAAGAAATATCTTCCCAATTTCAGAGCCGTCTGTGAATCATCCTGAATAATACTGGGTTTTTGGGACAAACATCAGGCAGGCAAGGCAAAGAAGTGAGTAAAGGTCAAAGTTCAGGACAAATCAGTTGTCGCATACAGTGTAAACATACAGATATAATTAATTACAGTGAGCAAGAAACAGCTCACACAAATCTTCACATAGCGGTCAGCTGACAGCTTGTGGAATTTATTTTTATTTTTTTTCGACATGTAGAGGACAGGGAAAGTTGAATTGAGAATAAAACACAAGCCAGGAACACATTATTTAGTGTGTGTCATCATTTCTTCCCTTCTGTGCATTTTTTAAAAAACGTACATAAATAATGATGCTTCTAAACATGGCCTCCGTCCTTCTCGTCCTTTATCACTCGAGTATGCAACATTGCCCAGTGACTCCCACATAGATCCACAGCAATATTAATGTCATCACCAGACACGTTACCACTCCTGCATTTATCAGAACAATTCAAATGAACATCATTATCATTTTCATTAATTACCACAACAATCTTTCCATCCTAGTACAGAACATACAGACCACATGTGTCTCATGCGGTATGACAGTCCTCATTATGTTCTAGGAGGAAGTGCAGCAGCCTATCCTGTTGTATTGTTTCAAAGGAGCTATATATTTCCTTATGTTGTTTGGTTGAGAAAAAAAAAAAGATGTTTCCTCTTCCATCAGACAAGACACTCACCTACAACTGGAAGGCCAAAATGCACAAGCCCCGCGAGCCTGGGAACATCCGCCCTGATGAAGAGTTTTTGAGCGAGATGATGCATTGCAACACTGTTCTACTGATCCTGACCCTG